CTGTACTCGCTGTACAACATCAAGGGATATCAGCCCGTGCAGCTGAACCTGACAGGAGGAAATAACAACAAAGATGGTATTCTTGGTGATGCTACGKTTGGACCAACATTTGGCTGTTGGCTACCTGGCCTTCATATCTCAAATAACGCATCGAGTAACGACAATTCCCGCTCATTTCTTGGCTTTACCTACCAAACCCCCCCTGGCTGTACAGTCTCATGTGAGGTTTTCTTTGTTGGTAAGAACAGGTTCACACCAAGTGATGTCGAAGTCTTCTATGAGACTACGGCCTAACGACCTAAACAAACAGACTATATGATTATATACCCGGCGTAGTAAATAGCTGAACCTGACAGGACTAGACAACAAACGTGCTATTGGTGGTTATGCTGGCCATGGACCAACATTTGGCTGTTACCAACCTGGCCTTTATATCTCAAATAACGCATCGAGTAACGACGATTGCCACTCATATCTTGGCTATAACTACCAAACACCCCCTGGCTGTAAAATCTCATGTGGCAAATTCTTTGTTGGTGACCATCATTTTAAACCAAGTGATGTCGAAGTCTTCTATGAGACTACGGCCTAACGATTTAAACAAACAGACCATGATTATATACCCGGAGTAGTAAATAGCAAGTCTACTTATATCAGCTTAGCATCAAATACCTGTAGAGTCGTTTTAATTTGTATGACTGACAAACAATGATGATGAATAGCGTCTCTAACGGAATACTATGAATACTATGAATACCGTAAATCTCATTTTTTTTATTACTTTGTCGAGTCAGGGTTGTATCGGAATGATTTTCATTGGGGTGTGGCGGCGTCTTTAAATACCAAATTTTYACTATGACATCATATAACGTCCATATAATGTCATATCTATCTTTGGTTTTCGCTTTGGAAGGGGGTCACGGGCACCCTGTAGCCCTGTAGTCAATTGTGACTGTCATTTTTAAATGATCMGTTAAAGTATTACTTTTTATTATTATTTGAAATATTTGTAATTCTGTATGCCTRGTGAAAAGTGTTAGTTTGGGTCAAAAAAACACTCGCGGGTTTCTTGATATGTTTTTAGTTGGTGTTTAGTGCTGATATCTATTGATACGGTGGAAACTCACTTGCGCTTTGACAGGAGYGTGTGAATCCGTATCGTAGGCGTGAGGCAATCAATACCTGTCCACCATTCATGAGTCGACTGTAGCTCGATGTGGTCTGTGAAGTGTAATGCTAATAAAACAATGATCCATCAATCATATGACTATTTCTTTCATTGACGTCAACTTTCTCTCTTTAACTCGCATTAATTATACCGTCGTTGGCATTGCTGCGCAACCAAGGCAGATAAAACTTAATATGTCTACAACTAGCAATTTACAGACAAAAACAAAAATATTGCTTTAAGATTTTGAAAAGCAAAAAAAAAAAAAAAACTACGGATAAAACATACGTCAACATACACCAATCGAGTAATGGCATGATAGATCAACTAGCAGTAATTTTATAACTATCGCTCAAAGTTACTTTTTCCAGAAATTTTAAACTAGTCTTGAATTTGTCGAGCGCGGTTCAAGCATTGGTCATTAGCTCTATGATACTTGCAGGTTAATCAGTGCAAAATTGTAAGATATCTGTCTTATGTATGTCAATATAGAATTGGCCATTTTTACGTTGCGCAGGGGACTGGGCACTAATCAAAGAAATATTGATCTATTCACGAAACAAACCCCACCAGTTGAAAGGACACCCAAAAATTAGTATATATACCAAGTTTCAAAACGTTTGGATAAAAACTAGCTGAACAGTATTTATTTCTAGTTTCATCAAATTAACAGAGAATGTATTGTTTTGGGGGACGCGGTCAAAATCGCCATACATTCTCTGTAAATTGCACGGCTTCTCATTAATTGAATATTTGTCCAAATGATCTGTAATTTGGAACCTACACTAAAGTCGATAAAGTCTTTTTAGCGATATGGTTAGTTTTTCGATTGGCTCAATATGACAGAAATTACAATTCATTTTATAACATAAAAATGGCTAATAGGGAGCAAGGGAGCAAGGACATTTACTTTAGGCAAACGGAGTTTTCATGATTTTTAGTGGGAATCAAAGGAGTAGGAGTTTATTTTTGGGCTCACAAAAGAGAAGATAATTGACGGTAGTCAACACCAATCATAAACGCCACATTACGACATTTTACCATTCTTTTACACTTTATGGACTTAACGGCGCTAAAAATATACATTGGAGTTCCTGTGGTAAACGTTTGGCAAACGTTTGGGACCTGGTGCCAAGGGTTGAGCATGAATGCTGTGAAGTGTGTACACATTCTTAAATGGCTTCGTATGAAGATAGCGATGGAATTAATGATTCTTTTTCTTTTTGGGAGACTTCAAAAGATTTTATAGCTAGCAGATCATAAATGACTAGAAATTATATAATTATCTAGGGTTCAAGGGAGCTTGTACCCCCTGCGAACGCCTCGATTGTCACCAGCCCAAAACTTATACTCGGCCAAGTAATATCATACTCCTTTCGCTGTTTATGCCTTGTTCATTGTAAAATGAAGAATGAACTTTGATGGAAAATGGAAGTTAAATCGATTTATCAAACTTGAATACACGTAAAATCGATGTCTGATAATACGGTGCAAAAATTGCTAACCGTCTGCATGTCCATGGATGACAAAACACCTGTCTCATTAAAAAATACCCATTACCGTCCAAAAATACTTAAAACTTAGTCGAAAAAGGAATGTCTTGTAGAAAGAGAAATTGCTGTTTGGGAAAACATCCCGCGGGCGCGAGACATGTAACGCATGTACATACAATAAATATTGTTTCAAAGTTCGAATTCAAGTTCATGGACGCATTTCTAATTTTGCTAAAATGTTAATTAATTGAGAAAAGAGTAATATATATATGCTAATAACATACTAACGATATAATTGCTGACAGTGCACGCGTTGGTCTTGAGTGCTGATTTTGAAATCTTGTCATAAGATTGAAGACAGAAATTCTTTTGATCTAGACAAGCCCAGAAAGTAGTTTCAAGCTGATCATAAAGTTCTAAGCTCCAGTCAAACATGCATCCAGCAATGTCAAATCTTCAGATCTTTGCACTCGCCGTTTTACTTTCCTGTCTGAGTTATAGCGTTKTTGGTCAGACAATCAGTGGACAGTCTGAGATCTTTCAAAGTAAAAGTCTTTCTTCCAAAAAGTCAGATATTTTRATAAAAAGCAAGAAAGTAAGCAGCAAGCTGGAGTGTACAATGATTTGCTCCAGGACAGACTCCTGYCGCTCTGTYAACRTACAGAAAAGAACCGRWGKACACAAGWTMRAATGTGAGCTTTTATCAAAGTCAAAGCGTGATTCGGACACCATGTTGGAAAAGAGAGACGACTACGACCACATTGACATGATTGTAAGTACTGTTTTTCGTAGAGAACTTTTTTTCGATAAAGAAATGCTTTAGCTAGTTTGCATTGGCTTTTCTTTTTTTGCATATTTGTCTTGTTCGTTGTCATACAGTGTTTTTATTGTGTTGTCTATTGCCAAGTATGCAGTTCATTCACCATAAACAGATTTTAAACTGTTTCAATTGATCGTGCTATGCGTATTACTTGAGTTTCACGATGTCTTTTACTCTGTGTACGCCTCAATTGTGTGCAAAATTTTCAAACTTTTTCCATTGTCTTCTATACTTATGGATCTCTTGCTTTTTTGCTGTTGAGCGAATAAAATAATGTATTACTTGGTTTTGAGGCTAGCACAGCGTAAACGAGAGTATGTGAGTGATATGTCAATAATTATTTGCTCATGACTATGAATTAAATTGAAAGTCGAAATATTGTATTCGTACCATCACTACCTCTATATTTTTTAATCCAAAACCTGGATTTCTTTTCTTTTCCTCGAACTCGTTCTCATTTCTCTAAATATTGATGGATTATGACACAACATATACAATTCAAATTCGGAAAGAATTATCAATTGCAAACGTTAGATACAGTAAAAAGGAGTTAACTGGCCAAATTTGAAGGGCGTACTTGATCTAGAGAGCGAGTAAACTCATTTTTAGTTCCCCATACATTTCGTTATAATTTCCGGGGTCATCAGCGCATGACGCGCGTGAAAAATACAAAGAAATGTATTGAAAACTAAAAATAAATTTACTCGCTCCCTAGATGAAGTACATCCTTCAAGTTTGGCCAGGTAACTCCTATCGTTTGCAATTGATAATTATTTCTGAATCTGAATTCAGCAAGAATTATTTGACATCGATTTCTCGGCCTATCCTTGTTATTTTGCGACACTTTGCCGTCCGGTCCAAGATGGCTGCCAAAACCGTCACCTCATCTATTTTAGAGTCGATTTCGTATGACTGGTAAACCGATGCTGACGCGACACAGCTACGGTACAGCTAAGGTACGGATTCATTCGATCCTTTTTTAAGTTAATCGCAAGAATTCATGATAATCACAATAAAAAAGGCTAATAATTTCCCAAGAAAACATTTAAGTGGAATTTTTAAGCAAGCAGTAAAATAACTTTAAGTTATTCTTGAAAATTACCGACTGAACATGTCACGCGCGAGTGCTTTAATACACGAAAGTTTGACAAACTAAAAACTTTCACAAAATGAATTGCAAATATTCTCACTGCTTAAAAGTGTTCAAATAAATACAAATAAAA